AGGGAAGGCTCTGTGGCCCTCGGAGGTAGAGCGCGAATGGAATCCCTGTGCGTCTGTTGGAGGTGGCCTGGGCCAGATGCAGAGGGGCCGCAGAGGGGAAGGCGCACAGATGGCTGGTACCTCTCTGCCAGGAAACGCCTGCCTGTCCCTGCAGCTGGATTGGGATGCCGAGCACAGCTGTGCAGACTTCCCGGACCCCGGTGTCCCTTGGGAATCTTTCTGAGCGGAAGGGAAGGTGTCACAGTTCACACCTGACCCCACCTGGGACTCCTTCCTCCCCAGGCTTGGTGCCATCCTTCCTGCCCCTGGTGTCACAGCTCAGGGTGTGTGCACACGTGTGAGGGAGATACAGCAGGTGTGCTGGGAGAGGTCGCTTGTCAGGGGCACCGATCCCAGGTTGTCAGTGATGGCAAAAAGAACAGTGTCTCAGTTTTTAATTAGAGGAGGGAAGACGCGACTTTTTCTTTAATTAAACATATTTTATCCTGCCTTTTTGTTTTCTAATGTTTCCACTGGGTGGTGCTGCAGGAATTCCTACCTTTTGCCTTGAATCTACCCTTCCCAGAAAGACGCCTCTGCAGCATAATAGGAGGAAGTCCTGATTTAGAAAGATTTTACAGTTGCAACACAATAGAAGAGTTTGGAGGATGCTTTGGCAGGAAATGGCTCAGTTTGTGGATGTGGAAAAACCACCATCACTTTGTATCATGCAAAAAGTGTTCTCACTGCAGTGGGTACAGATTTGGATTTTTACCAGCTTCTTCTGTAGCACAGTAAAGCTTTCAAGGGTATCTGGAAGATTAGGGCTTCCTTCTCGTGGAAGTGGTAGGTGAGATTGCCTGTATTTTGATTTTGGTAAAACCATCCTCGAGTGTGTAAGTCAACAAGTCCTTCCTAAGAGTAAGAGAGCCACATATGTAGGAAAACATTTCTGCTAAGGCGTTGCTTGAAACCGAAGCCATTCTTATTTTAAAGATTACTTCCTCTGTGTATTGATCAAAGAATTATCTTTTTCCCCCCCCCGCAGCGCTGGGGATGGAACCCAAGGCCTCCCGCATGTGAGGCAAATGCTCTGCCACTGAGCTGCATCCGTAGCCCAACTACATAGTTTTTCTTCCAAAATACTTTTGATCTTAAAAAGGCTCTCAATTTGCTAACACCTAGCTAAGAGGTGGGGCTGTCTTTACCCCTTTTCCAAACAAGTAGACTAGGAGAGAAAAACTGATGTCCCAGTCTCCAGTTTGAAGGCTTTGGCTGTCACGAGAACTTGTATAACTTAACTTCCAACTTTTCCCCTGAACGCTCAGGATTGTATTGTATTAATACTAATAGAACAAAAAATGGGGTGGAAGATTTTCCAAGCAAAGGGCAATACATACAAGAGTTGAGAGTATTGGGAGGGTAGGAGGTGCCCACTGGAGGTGAGGGGGCTCATTAAATCGAGGCTTATGTTTAAGGACACTTGGCAAGATTTGAGTGAGTCTTACGAACCCCAAAGTGCCCCGATTTTTCAGGGCGTGTTGTAGTCTTCCAAACTCCACTTGGTTTAGAACCCTGCACAGCTTCTTGGGAGCTGTCTTGGGTTATCTTTTTCCTTCCTTCCTTTTTGCAGTGCCAGGGATTGAACGTAGGTCCCACATGCGCAGTCCCTGAGCTATGCCCCAGCCTTGCAGTATTAATTTTTACGGGGAGTTGCAGAGGCCCCCCTGGGTGCTAGGTCCCATGCCTGTGCCGCCATACGCAATTCCAGCAGGGCTCCCAGCCTGTCCTTGTCCCTCGTGGAGTGGTTCTCACAATTCATGTCAGAGCAGTGTGAAATGCACACGTATTTGGGATCCTTCTCTGGGGCCAGGCTTGCTCGCCAAGGTTGCGTGTGACTTCCATTTCCTTGTCCTGCTGCCCGGCGTACACACACTGAGGAGAGGGACCCATCTCTGTGTGTCCCACAAGCAGCTAGGTTCTAGAACTCAGCACCTCAAGTCCTGTTTCATCATGGAGAGCCAGCCTTGATATGTAACCTTCTGGGGACTGGGAGCCATGTAAATCCGCACCCCCATCTTTCAACAGGGCGATTGGTTTAAAAAATGGAGTCATGGGTTCAAAGATTCTGTCCTGAAAGAGAACCCAGCCTCAGATGAGACAAGCCCAGGAGTGAATCCAGACGTTGCCTGACCTGGATCCTAGTGGGGTGTCGCCCAGTCTTCTGAGGTAGCAAGACAGGCCTCGTAGCTGCAGTGAGGCATGCATGCAAGGGGTGACTGAGAGCTGGACTTGGCCCCGGCTGTTTCCGGAGAGGGGTCTCTGTTCGCCTTTATCGTAACTGTGGCCTGAGTGTCTGGTCTCGCATTTTTCGATCATGGCCTCCTCACTGGTGTGGCGAACTGAGAGTGTGAAATTCGGACAGCGTGTATAAAGCCCCCAGCACGTGGCCGGGCATGTAAGTGGTCGTCAGATGTTACCATTAAAACGGAAAAGTTTTTATGGAAGTGCACCTTTTGGTCTAAACCTTATTCTTGGGCATTCCCTGGGATCTCATTATTACTGGCATTGAGAATGTAACACGGTTTTCTCAGAACACGGCTCTTAGTGTGGAATTTATAAATCATCCTCAGAGTTTTGAAAGCCCTGCTGAAATTATTGTATGTAATGTATTGTGTGTATGGATGTGCACGTACATGTATGTACTTGTATGAATGTATATGTGGATGTATGTGTGTTTTCTGCTTGAGTTTTAGATTCTCAAAGGGGTTCATAGGGCCAGGAATATAGCTCAGTGGCATAAGTGCCTGCCTCAAAGGGGTCCATGGACCAAACATAGTAAGATCCTGCCCCGGGGCTGTGAGCATATGTGTATATGTGCATGTGTCTGCATCTACTTTATGTGTCTGCTTCTGTGTTTTAGGTTGAGCATGTGCTAGTGTTGATGTTGAACTGTTTTGATCAACAGAAATAATAATTTCATGGTGTTCAACCTCAGTTGTGATATCATTAGAAAACCTAACTTGAAGTAGTACCCTAATGGTCATACCTTTTTATATGTCATTTATCAAAACCTAGCAAGTTGAAATTTATTAGGCAGCCTGGGACTGCTAGTAACTGTATTCATCTGAAATAACATCTCTTGTGTCTTGTGTTAGAAATAGTCTCAAATTTTCACTGGGGATTTATTGGCAGCTTTATCACATCTAATGGATACTTTTCTGCTTAGTTTTGTTTGTTTGTTTGTTTTTTCTCTGATGAATTCCTAGGGTTAATCGCTTGGGGGAGGCAAGACATTTTCTGAGTTTTCTTGGGCAGTCAGACACCGGTACCTTGGAGCGTTGCCGTCCTAGGCAGGGTTAAAACAGAGCCGGCACCCGAGGCCAGCTGAAACCAGAGCTGCAGTTACAAAGTGGGACAGATGTGGGAGGCCAGGTTTCCTGTGGCCCATTTTCCAGTTTCCTGCCTGCAACCTGCAGAAGAGGAAGCTGAGTGCTACCAAGTATGAGAACGGGAGAGAGCCGTGCTTCGCGCCAGCAGTGAGATTCATGCAAACCACACAGACAGCAAAAACAATCGCAAAGAAAGTGAATGCTCAGGTTTTCGTCCCAGAATATCCGGCAAGGAGCAGCCTGCCTGTTTAGAGAAAAAGCGTGATCCACAGAGCCTGCAGTCGCCCGCAGGCAGAGGTGGGGGCAGAGATCAGCCAGGTTGCGGGAACCGCTGGTTTTTACAGCCCTGCTCACCTTTCAAGACGTGGCCTGCTGTTGTGATACGGTTGGTTACCTGAAAAGATTTTCCCTGCAGAGCCCGGGGCTTCTGACTCTGCTTCCTGGGCACGTTAATGTGGGAGGGAGGTGGATGTGGTTAAGCCGCTGGCTGTAATGAGCTGCAGCCCCAATTTGGGGAGGCAGGGTGACCAGTCACCTACTTTGATCTGGCAGGCTCATGTTCCTTTGACTGCCCAGTAAAACTTCTGTCTGATGTTTTCAAATAAGCAATTACACAGAGGTGTGTGTTGAAGACAACAGCTTACACACTGCATTGGCCTGCTGGGATCCAGGCAGTCGGAAGACACCAGAGAATGTGAATAAATGCATCTTTTCCCGATGGGGAAAAATGACCCACCATCTAGGCTCTTTCACTCATTTTAGGAGTTTGTGAAGTCAGCGCGCTCCTACCTTAACGGTAAGGAAACTGAGATCGAAAGAGGCTGTAATTCATCGCACACCTCTTTATTGAGTACCGAGTATTTGTCAGGTGCTGGCTTCGCATTGCTACTGGCTGATGCTAATGAAATAATGGCTATACATAAGCCAGACATGGGGAGACGCACCTGTAACCCTAGCACTGGGGAGGCTGAGGCAGGAGGATTGCTGTGAGTTTGAGTTAGTGAATTCAAAGCCAGCCTGGGATACATAACAAGAACCTGTCTCCCAAAATGAAAATAATGGTTAAAAAGATATAGCTCCATTTGTGGAAACCATGTTGCTGATGGCTTGTAATGCACAGGGCACTGTTCTGAGCTTTTCCTTTGCAGCATCTTATTGAAACTGACTTGCAATATTTGAGGTACAGAGAAAGAGGCATGTGCTTCTGGGACAGCCGGTTCCTGACCCTGCAGACGGACCACCTCTTCTTCACGCTCGGAAAGAACAAGCTGTGTATCAGGAACCTTAGGAAATTTTGAGATATTGCCAAGTTAGAGATCAAAGAGGGGCCCGTGTGAGGCAGCCGGAGTGAGGACGGCCCTTCCTGTCTTGCTGCGGGCCTCTGCTGGAAATGCGGGCTCAGACAGAGCCGGGGTGTGTGGTGCTCGGGTGGGGTGGGAAACGGCATGGATTCACGTGTGGGAGGAAGCGGAATATCCCAGAGACGCTTTCCCCGCCAGAGTCAAGGCAGCTACCCATTCACTTTTCCAAAGAATCCTCACCCATGTACAGATCACCAGTGAGCCTGGTGTGGTGATGCATTTCTGTAATCCTAGTACTCTGGAAGGCTGAGACAGGAGGGTCACAAGTTTGAGCCCAGCCTAGGCAACTTAGTGACTTAGCCAGATCCTGTCTCAAAGTAAAAAAGGGCTCCAGATGTAGCGAGTGTGGAGGGCCTGGCCTCCGTTCCCGGTACTGCACAAATAAATAAATGAATAAAGTCATGCAGTGAATCAGTCTAGTGGCTTCTAATTTACACACAGATACCAAGATTTCAGGAAGAGAGGAGTGGTCCACACACAGTAAATTGCATGTTTTGTCACCACTGGTTATCGGTGATTTCTTCTGTAAAATCTTCTTCTTTCCTCAGACGAAAGAGTTACTTAGAAAATATCCGGACTGCAAGTAGGGGCAAATCAATGGGCTGAATACTCCATTCTCCTTTCTGTATTCTCTGTGTCCCTTAAAAAATGGTCAGTCTAGATCTTTACAGTGTAAATGAGGAGGCAAAAACTTGTTATTGAGGGAAAAATCTTCAGAGGACACGGAGCCGGCCTTGCGCATTTATTTTTCTGTACGGTGGTTGACAGTCCTGAGTGTAGTTTTTGAAAATAAATTATAATAATCGTAGCTTCACCTCACGGAACTGGCAGAGAAGACCTCGGTGGGAAGATTTGGGACTCGTCCCCAGTTCCGCAGCCGTGGGAGTTTCAGCCAATACCCAGCTACACGCGGAGCGGGGCAACACCAGGCTCTTCCTGTGCTTCGGTTCTTTTTCTCTCTACTTTTTTACTATAGATATTTTTAATTGACCGTTTCATTAGTATAATCTTAGATTCAGAAGTGATTTTTCTGCTCAACTCCCACCTTAGTGCATCTTTAAAAGTGAAACCGCGAGCGTGCAAAGGGCGCGTTAGGTGTCCACTGACCAGAGAACAAACAAGTGGGCATTTGGTTGCGACTTCTAACAATGGAAGCAAAAACCTGCCTCCCGAGGGTCCTGGGCAGCCGGCTCACATTAGGAGGCGTGGCGCCACCTTGTGGCCGACAGGAGGCAACTCCGCCTCCAAGAAGAGGGAAGTAAGTGCCTGCCTTCTTTTTTTTTTTTTTTTTTTTTTTTTTTTTTTAAAGAATAAAAGAAGGATAACATAATAACAGGGGGGACTTAGCAAATTACAGACAAAATGGTAGGAAATTATCAATGGTTATCATTTTACATATTATTGTCTACAAAATAGTTTCTCAGGAAAACAAATAGACAAATAATAGTGAGTTACAGACAAAAGAGGTAGGAGATTATCAAGAGTTGTTGTACTATACTTTGGTATCTTCAAAGTGGCTTCTAAAGAAAATAAATAGCGCTATACATGAGTGACCTATTGAAAAATCATTAACTATTCTCAATGGTTGTTGTAGGAAACACATAATAATAAACAGACATCCATTTATGAAATAGGATAGGAACATTACAAACTTTACACAGTTATGGATAGATTAGTAGGAAAATATCAATGGCTGCTGTAATACGTGGTGGTATCTTCAGAGTGGTTTCTCAGGAAGACAGAGATATGCAAGAGGGACCTATTAAGGAGTTACAGCCTAAGAAGTGCCTGCCTTCTGTAGAGACCCTGAAGCTGAGAGGCGATACTTGTGTGACCCGCAGAACAGGCTCGGGAACAGTTCGGGGGTCGGTTTCCCTGTGGCATCTTTCCCTTTGAGGGGCTTTCCAGGTTAAAGAATGAACCAAGGATTTTTATAATTTGTTTTTGCCGGCCCTGGGAATTGAACCCAGGGCCTTGGGCAAGCTGGACAAGTGCTCTATCTCTGGCTACCTCCCCAGCCAGAAATCAAAGGTTAAAAAAAGAGAGAAAAGACTAAGAGGAGCACAAAACTATTCGCATATTATTTGCTCTCTGAAAACAAAGAGTTGAAAACTCAGAGAGCAGAAAACGTAACTTTGAGCTGCAGAAATGCACTACATAGCCCAGGCTGGCCTTGAATTTGCAGTGATCCTCCTGCCTCAGCCTCCCAAGTGCTGGGGTTACAGGTGTGCACCACCACACTCAAGCTATACTTGGATTTCTTAAATTGGAGTCAGAACAGGCGCTAGGTGATCTGTGTTACCCATAAGACTTCAAAAATTCTCAGAGAAACAAACATAAGCGTATTCCAAGTCACCACTCGGATTCAGTGCCTGTGTAGGGACATTTAATGAAGGTGGGTACAATGTCGGAATGACTCTTCGAGCCCGGCCCCATGATTTCACAGCATGGCGCCTGCTGTGTACCAGGTCTGGTGACTCCTGTAATCCTGGGAAGGGAGCTACGGGTGTCATGGTTGTGACCTCGGAGGGTACTGCGGCACAGAGAGGGTCGGTAACCTCCCGGCTCACACAGCCAGGCAGGACTCCCGACAGTCTGACTCCAGAGTCTGCTCCTGCCCACTCTGTAGCCTCCCAAGTAGACAAAATTGTTCCTTCTCTCACTTCCAGGTTAGAAAACGGTTGTGCTTCCATGGAGACCTGTATACTGTCGGGACCGAGAGACGGCTCCTCTGACTGACTTAATTTGGAGTTTACGGAGGCCATGTTAATTATAGAGAACTGACCACAAAATAACTCTTGTCTGTGGAGATGCAAATTGTGTTCTTTGGCTGACGCCCCACCTCATTCTGTCTCCGTGGCATGTTCGTTTTCCTGTTCCTATGCTGTAGATGCCTCTGTTCGCATTGTGTTTTTGAACCCTGGTAGTGCCTGCCTGGTTCTCTGGGTGGTTAATAGGTAAAGTAACATCTTTGAAGTGCTCCTTTTTATGTCATATGACAGCCACGATTTTACTGTGTTTTGAAAATTATTTTCTCCACTCTCAACGTCTTGATGACCCCATCGACACCTCCACCACACCCCGCCTGACACCCTGAGCGCCCCGGCCCCTCACCTGGCTTGCTTCATTTTTTCGTAGTCTTTCTCTTCCAACCTGCTGTGGCATCTCATTCCGTCTTCTGTGTCTATATGGTTCCTGTTTACCTTCTCTGCTTGTCCGTGGATTGGCATTTAGGCTGAGTCTGTATCTTGGTTATTGTGAATTGTTATAAATGTTGAGCTGCAGTAAACATGGGACTGCAGATCTCTTTCTGACAGCCTGGCTTCATTTCCTTTGGTCGCATACCCGGCAGTTTGAGCGCTGGTTCTCATGATAGTGCTGCTTTCACTGTTTTGAGGAGCCCCATCCCGTTCTCCTGAATGGCTGTACTAATTCAGATCCCCACCCCCTGTGTGTAAGAGTTCCTGTTTCTCTGTATGCCCACCGGCACCCGACAGGCTATACCAAGTTATCTAGCTGTACCGCAGCAAGATCGTGGCTATAAATTACAAAGGAAATGTGCGGTTGGGACAAATAGTAGGTAAGTGTATTCTTGCGAGAGAGCTGGAGGATCTCAGCCAGCTGCTGTGCCCTCCGCCTGGGGCCAGTGCTGGCACAAAGAGGGAGAAGCTCAGGCAGAGATGGAGAGGGCCCGATAGCAGAGGATAGAGGGGAATGTAGAGGAAGACAGAAAGTATGGGCTTTGGTAGTGTTTCATCACTTGACTGAATACCTGAGAGGGAAGGGTTTATGCTGGCTTATGATTTCAGAGGTTTCAGTCCCTGGTTGCTGGATGCTATTGTTCACAGCCTGAGGGGGAGGCCCTGAAACTTCAGCTGTTCACGTCCTGGCAGCCAGGAACAAGAGGACAAGGAGCAGGGGAAGGAGAGGAAAGAAGAGGGTGAGCTGGGAAGAAGGAGGAGCAGGAGGGAGGGCAGGAGAGGAGGGAGGGCAGGAGAGGAGGGATGGAGGTGGGGGCAGGAGGGGGACCAAGGTCCAGTATACCTGTCAAGGAAATGTCCCCAGAGTCCCGCTTTCTCCAGCCAGGCCCCACCTGCTGAGTTCCTAGGACCTCCCAATGGTGCCACCAGCTGGGTACCAAGCCGTGTGCACGGGAGCCCTCGGGGGTCTTCTAGATCCAGACTGTGACAGAGCAGTGTGCCTTTCAGCATGGGCCGAGTGTCCTCCAGAGGGCAGAGCTCAGTTTTGCATAAAGAAAGGCATTAAAATACCTGCTAAAATTTCAGACATTCAAAATGAGGTTTGGGCAGAAGAAAGGAGTAGAAAATCACTTTCTAATTAGAATAAAAAATTGATTCATTCATATGTAGAAGCTTTAACAAATTGGCCTAAATGAAGATAGCAACTATGAGAGGTTGGGAGGCTGGGGGCTGGGGGGAGGGAGGCTGGGTTGGGGGATCAGATACGCATGGAGAGAGAGAACGGGTCCGGGGATTCTGCAGCACCGGTGGGTAAAGTTAGTCCACAAGAACAGTGTGTATTTTATAAAGACCTAGGACAGAGCGCTCAGAGGCTATGAACATAGAGAAGCGAGGAGAAGGAAATGCCAATGACCTCGATTTGATTAATGTATGCTCTAGGCTTGTGTTGAAAGATCACACCGAAGCCTAGCAGTAGGTGTAAGTAAGGCATGTTAATAAAAAAGTAAAACAAAATTGATTCGGGGAATTTTTCTTAAAGATTTCTAATATTTCTTTTGTGTGTTCTACAGATCTGGAGCTGAGAGTTGCGGGCAGGGAGCTAAATGAAGTTGAGCTGATGAAGGAGTGTAATTTAAAGCGGGCTTCTGCAGGCGGAGAATGAGACATAAATCTCATGCATCAACGCTTTCTTGAGCTTTTTGTTAATCAGAGCCACAGTTTCTGGCTGGATTATATTCTTTTAAAGCGGCATCCAGATGGGTTGGACTTCATTGTACCTGTGTGTTACGATTATCAGAGTTCGTTCAGGATTCTAGGCCCCAGGGAAGTAATTTCTCTTTTCCTGAGTGAGAGGGGCTGCTGGCTTTGCGAATGTGTACGGTGGCCGAAGGGCGTGCTCCCAGGCGCAGGGTTAGAACTGTTTTCTTTCCAGCCGTCTCAGAGGGCTGAATCCGTAGCTGCAGAGGTGTGGAAGAATATAATGCCCAGTTGTATGTGAAAACCAGTGTAAATTATGAAACTCACCTTCATCACAATTAAAATAAACAGTGGAACCGAAGTGAAAGAACAGTTTGTGCCCTCGAAGGGAGAGGACGTGTGCAGAGCCACTGGCTGGTGGCTCGCTGCCCACCTGGTCCCCGCCTGTCCCCCGCCCCCGGGAGCCTGTTGTAATTCCACCCAGGGCTGTGGCTGGCGAGGGTGGCAGGCCTGGTGCTGCGCGCGCGACATCCCCCAGTGACTTCCGCAGAGTGGAGAGAGGAGCGGCAGGCCTTGTAGACGGGAGTCCAAGTGCAGAGGAAATACTTTCTGAGACTCATCTCGGAGTAATGTGTGACTGGGATGCGCAGCAATCCAGCTTTAGGGCCGTGCGGTCGGGAGCCCGGGGCCTAAGTCAGCTAAGGAGTGGCTGGGAGTGCAGTGCGGGGACAGGGGACCAGGTCGGTGCCCTGTGCGGGCGCCCGCGCCTTAGTCAGCACCGCTCAGCCCTGTGACCTGTGAGTCTGGGTGTCTGCGGTCCCTCTCATCCAGTAACTGCTCTTTCCAGTTGAGACACACCCAGTGTCAGGGACCTGAGCTCTCCTGCGACACGTGGTGTGTGCGGGGCAGTGCAGCACCCCAGCCTCTTCAGACCTGGCTCAGAGAGGGCCTGTCATCCCTGCTATCTAATCGGGGCCCAGGTGGAGCTGGGGAGCAGAGAGCTGGGGACGCTGGTGTGGCCCCTCCAGCCTCTCTCTCTGCACCCAGCAGCGGAGGCCCTGACAACGAGGGAGTGGAGTGCACGGATAGCAATCCGGGTGCGTGCGGAGGTCCACAGAGCCTACTAGTGGGAGTGCAAGGTGGTCACGGGTGGGTGCTTCTGTCCCCCAGCTGCCCCCGGGGAATGTGCCAAAGGGAGGCAGTGGCCGGGCACTTTGTCCTCTGCCCCCAAGCTGGAGGCCTGGCAGCACTTTCCATCCACAGTGCCGTGCTACCCTAAAGCTCAGCCCCCCTGAACCGTTGCTTTGAACATCGTGTTTAAAGTTTCAAAGATATTTATATATTTATTACTGGTCTTTTGAGACAGGGTCTTGCTGTGTAGTTCAGGCTGGCCTCGAACTCACTATGTGGCCCAGGCTGGCCTCGAACTTGCAGCGATCCTCCTGCGGGCTGGTGTGACAGTTTTGAAGGTATTTAAAAACTCAACCGCCTGAAGTGTTTGGCTGAAAAGACATCAAGAATTTGAGACAGCTGACGAGCCAGGGGCGGGCGATGAGAAAGTCCGTAGCTGTGCTCTAACCACCAGCGGGTGTTTGGAACTCACGGATGGCACCCCTGCGGCCCAGTGCTTGTACCTCGGGGACTCGGGGACTCGGGATGTGGGGAGCAGTGAACTGATTTACTGCTGCGCAGACCAAGCGGCGGCGGGCTGAATATTGATTTCAGAAAGGAGCCGCGCGGGCGTCTGGAGCGCGTTCCCGATCTGCCGTCCTCTAACAGAGGCACTCGGGTGGCACCCGTGACGAACGTGCTTTGGGGTGAATGTGTGAAGGGGAATAACAAGGATCTGAGCCCTAAAGGGGAGACCCTGGCGGGAGGGGAGGCCCCGGCCCCGCCCGGGTCAGACTCTGACAGCCGCAGTTTGGAAGCAGGGGGTATGTGGGGTTGTGGAGCCGCGGACCGCAGAGGACCCGCCCCGAGGAGGCTGTCATGCTGGCTTCCGGGTCTCTCCATGCACGTCCACCTGACTATGCCCTTGAGGGTGTCGCCCTGTGTCCCCTGCTCTGAGAGGCGATGCTGCCTCGTTCCATCCGCTTGTCCCCGCCGAGGAGGGCTGCTTTAGAGTCAGCACTCGTGTTATGGGTATTTTGGAACGAGCACTCCTGCTTATGGATATTTTGGAATCAGCACTCGTGTTTGTGAATAGTTTCCTCCATGCCTGAAGCTGGGCCCGCTTGAGTTCACCAGGCTGCAAGGCTAGGGAAGCGCGCTAGGCGGAAGGAACGGCTCTTAGAAGTCGAAAACAGCCAGACACCTAAAGCAAAGGTAACATTTTATAGGCCTTCCTCTCCTGGGAAAAACCTGTGGCCATCTGCAGCCCGTGAAGTCTGGGAAAGTGACAGTCTCTTCAAAAGGCAATGACTGGTTGATTCTTCATTGCCACCAGCATCCCCCAACCTGTCAGCTGTCCCAGCGGTCATTGTGCCGGGACGCGGGCTTCCCAGCCTTGCTGAGGAATCTGACCGTCTCTATGCCTGTGTGACAGGAAGGGACGCTTGTGTCTACCCCAGGCCCCTCTGAGTGCTCTGAGCCTGGGGCCAGCATTTCGCACGGAATGGGCTAAGCAGGGAGGGTGGCCAGCCGGCCGGGATGGGCGCTGCTGGTAGGTCAAGCGAGGGAGACTTGGGGTGTAGCCTTTCCCAGAGGGTTCATCTCATCTCATTCGCTCACTGTGGGCCCATGTGGGTCGCGGGTCGCAGGGTCCCCGGATGCCCTGTGCTTCTGGACGGAAGCTGCTTTCAGAAGTGCAGCCAGAAAGCGCCCGTGCAGGGCGCCAGCGGGGGGAAGGGGGCTGCGTGCCCCGCCCTGACCTGCCCCTCTCCCGCAGGTATGGAGAGTGCAATCACCCTGTGGCAGTTCCTGTTGCAGTTGCTGCTGGACCAGAAGCACGAGCACCTCATCTGCTGGACCTCCAACGATGGTGAGTTCAAGCTGCTCAAGGCGGAGGAGGTGGCCAAGCTGTGGGGGCTCCGGAAGAACAAGACCAACATGAACTACGACAAGCTGAGCAGAGCCCTGCGCTACTACTATGACAAGGTGAGCCGGCTCCTCGCGGGGGCTGCGTGCGGCGGTGGGCGTGGCCCCGTTTCATTGCCTCCTTCAAGAGGCAACCATGAGCGGGGACCAAGCTGGAAGGTGGGGTGGGGCAGGTGGAGGCCTTTTCCCCGCCTTTTTTCGGTGGGGTAGGGAGTGCTGCTAGAGGGGTTTTTATTTTCCCCTCCCTGGATATTATTATGGGCTGGATTTTCTTCCCGCAGCTTTTTCACCTGTAGTTTGTTGAAGAACGTTGCTAATGATAGAAATGATATGTCCCGAAGTTCTGGGGCTTCCCTAACCGTGCCTTGCTTCAGAAACAGAATGAGCGTTAAAGTCTACCAAGTCTGATAATCGCATCTTCTTTGTAGTTTTGTCACAAGGCGTGCTTTTCCTTCCTAACTTACTTCCTTTTGCTCTTTCTTTCTCTCTCTTTTCCTTCCTTCTTTCTTTCTTCCTTTCTTTCTTTTTCTTTCTGTCTCTTCCCTCTCCTCCCTCCCTTGCTTCTGCCCTATTCTCTCTCACTCTATTTCTGTCTTTTTTTTTTTTTTGGTGCTTGAGATTAAACCCTAGGCACTGGTCCAATCCTCAGCCCCTTTTTACTTTTTGTTTTGAGACAGTATCTGTCTAAGTCCCTAAATTACCCAGGCTGGGCTTGAATTGGCAGTCCTCCTGCCTCAGCCTCTCTGAGTGATGGGATTACAGGCATGCGCCACCACACCCGCCTAGGCCCATGGCTTTTAAACCCCTGGGTCTTAGTGCCCTGTTCATAAAATGGGAAGGATAATAATGCTGATGGGATTTGTAGCTTGATGAGAAACTTACCTAATTTTGTTTCTAAATCACAGAGACGCGACAGAGTGCTTTGCTAAGTAAAAATAGACTATAGTTGCCAAAGACAGAAAAGTTGGAGTGAGTTTAATGCATTCCTGAAAAACAAATAATGGGCCTGCTAGAGCGAGGGTGTTGCTCTTCAGGATAATCACATCAGGCCTGGAATTGTTGACCATTCCTATTTGAATCGGTTGTTGCTGAGTATTAAGCCTCATAGACAAGAAGGCCGAGAGGCCTCGTAACCACACGCTTTTGTCCTGGCTTCACCGTTCACATTGAAAGGTGAATTAAACGCTGATTTAAATATTAGGTCCTGATCTATATTTAGTGCCTTCTCTCTGCCAACCCCTTTGGAATGGAAGACACAAGGATTATACATTTCAGGAAGTGAAGACATCATTAATTACAAAGTATTCCTTTATATGATCGTAATTGCATATGATTATGCCATTGAAATGCTAAAGGTGCTTTCCTTTAATGTGGCAATTAATTAATCCTGACTTAATGCAGAGCCCCACTACGATGTAAAAGCACTTCCTGCTAATTGCACTGTCTGGAAGCCAAGCAGATGGCATATTGTTTTGCATTTCCCCCCAGGTTCTGAGTTATACCCTGGGAATCGGGCCGGGAGGGAAAACAGTCCTGTTGTCTGTTGTGCCTGCTGGCAGGGCGCCCAGAGGCCTGGCATTCTCGTTGCTCAGAGTCAAGGTGTCTTGCTTCTCTGCATGCCTGGGCCTCAGGGTGCAGGGTGTGGCTCCGTGGCGATCTTCCGGCTGGATGGCAGTGACTGTTCAGACCCGCAAAGCCCTTGCTACCGAGCTCCCTTGCACCTGCTCGCAGATCTGCAGAGAGAGCTGTTTCCGCCTCAGCCAGCTCGTGTGGCTGGAACTTCCTGTTAGGCGTCTAAGGTAGTGGGCTGAGCACTTCCTCCTCTGGTCTGCTTTCAGCTAGACACCAACCAGTGAGACAGGTCCTGGTGTTGGCCTGCTCTTATGCAAATGAGAACTCAGACTGAGAAACCTGTCTTTGGCCCGGGCGCGGCAGGGCCTAGATTCCAGCCCAGCTGGTCTACGTGTGCTCCTGCGAAAGGCACAGCCGCCCCCTCCCTGCTGCGATCTCCACTTCCTTTGCCTTTGAATATCTGAGTTCCAGGCTGGCAGTCGTGCTGCCCAAAAGCTGTTCACAGTCTAAGAGGTTTTTGTTTATTATCAAGAACTTTTAAACCCAGGTGTGGTGGTATACACATGTAATCCCAGCATCCTGGAGGCTGAGGCAGGAGGATCTCCATGTTTCAGAGCTACCCTGTGCTACGTAGAAACTCAAGGGCAGCCTGAACTATATAGTGAGACCCTGTCTCAAGACAAAACAAAACAAAACAAAACAGTGCATGTGCTTAAGGGACGTGTAAGATTAAAAGACTCTATATCAGCCCATTTTCTGTTGCTGTAGCAACATACCTCAAGCTGAGTGCTCTGTAAAGAAGAGATGCCAGGTTTGGTGGCTTGAGCCTGTAATCACAGAAGTTGGGAGGCTGAGGCAGGAGAATCACTTCAAGTTCAAGTTCAAGGCCAGCCTGGGCTACAAAGTGAGTTCATCACCAGGCTGAACTGCATAGTGAAACACTGTCTCAAAAAAAAGAGAGAGAGGAGGGTGTCTATTTAGGAAACCGTAGGGGTCAGGAGCCGCCACGGGTGAGGGCCCAGGGCTGTGTCACAGCACCAGGGATGACAGCATGGCAGGAGCGTGTGTGAGAAGAGATGAACAGTGAGGCAGGAAGCCAGAAAGACCCAGGGCCAGGCCGGCTCTGGTGTAGCAACCCCTCTGCCGGGTGGACCGAGGTCCCGCAGAGCAGGAACCTCTCCCAGGCAGGCAGGCTGGCCGGAACCCTGGGGACCTAATTAGTGTACCAGGCCCCAGTCCTTAGGCTCCCGCCGCCTCCCATCCCTGCCCGTGGGGACGGAGAGCGGCAGGCAGTTTGGAGAGAAACGAAGAGGAAGAAGAGGGAGGAGGGTGAGAGCTGCCGAGTGAAGCTGGTGGGGAGCACACCTTCCTTGTGCTGTAGGGTCCACACTTTGAACGCAGCAGCGGAACTCCAGGATGACCTGTGGGAAAGGAAGCGGCTCAAGCTGCCAATATCTGGGCGGGGCGTCACCTTCACGCTAGGCTGCCAGTCGCACATTCCTGGGTTTATCCTAATAGGGAAGTCTCCTTGTTGGAATAGACAGGCGTGGGAATACTGTTCTTTTTATATGTTCTATGGTATATTTTTAGCTCGTTCCAGAATTTTAAAAATGGACAGAGGGGGAAAAAGTGGAAATGTGAGCGAAAGCGTGCGGGAGACACCAGAGGGCAAGACAGGGTCTGGCCATGTAGTTCAGGCTGGCCTTGAACTCAGTATGTAGCCCAGGTTGGCCTTGGACTTGTGGCAGTCTTCCTGCCTCAGCCTCCCAAGTGCTGGAAATACCGTTGTGGCACCGCCATGCCCAGCTTCAATCACTGTTTTGACAAATTCAGGTTAAGTACAAAGAAGAAAAGTAAAACCTTCACACCACACGCCTGCCTGGGCAGGTGGAGTTTGGGGGACCTGGCCTGGGAGCGACAGGTCTTTCTCATAGAAATCGGCAGGAGCCTTTCGTGAGACGATAACAGCCTCTTTGCCGGGCGCCTATTTCTGTACATTTCAGCTGCTCAGAGCTGAACTGCTGAGGTGTGGTCCCATCTCAGCGACTCTGTGCAGCTCAGAATCAAAGGCTGCACATGAGCGCCCCACATCGGAGGAGCTCCTGGTCTTTCCTTCCCCCCTCAGCAGCTCAAGTGCGCCTGAGGCCTGGTGTGGGGGGATTCAGAGTCACTGGGAGTCAGCAGTGCCCTGATCTGGAACGGCAAAGGACTGAAAGGGGAAGAAAAGCCGGCCGCGAGGGCCCTAAGCCTGGGCTGGCAGAGGCTGCCGCCCGCGCTGTCTTCTGCTCCTCTCCCCGTCTGCGTTTCGCTGTTTCCGAGGCCCAGGGGCCAGGGTTTGCAGCTAAGGCCTCCTTCCTCCCTCGACACTTTTGGAGACGCTGCTGGGCAGACCCGGTTAGCCCGGCCAGATGGGAGCGAACCGGTGCAGGGTGCCCACCGGCTCTTTCCGCTGAGAGCCAGCGCCTGGTGGGGCCAGGGCTGGGGACTGAAAGGCCCTGGTCACCTCCAGTGGTGCGCAGGGAGCAGGAGCACCCGGGTCTGAGCCTGAGCTGGCCGAAGAGACCTCATCGAGGCCTGACGTTGCGGCTGGGCCTTTTACAAGGGTCCACCAAACAGCGTGTTTCCTCGGGCTCGCTTTCGGCCCTGGGAGATGGGTTTGTTGCTGGAGCTCTGACGACCTGACTTTTGGGGTAGGATTTTTACCCTCCTTAGGTTTACACTGAGTCTCACAGAAGATAAGCATACTGATGTCGCTGTAAGGATGTCTTTCAGAGGTCGTATGTGTTAGCAGTGTGTATTAATCCTACAGAGTAATGGATTCGCGGTGCCACGTTGTGTACAAGCCTGTGAGGCGGTTTGGTTGTACTGTCCCCGCCCGATTATCCGCCCTGGCCCTCCTCCCCTCTCCCCTGACTCCCTCCCTCTCTGTAATAGTCCCCCCTCTACTTTCATGGCATGGTTTTTTCCCTAGATTCTGCAGATGAGCAGAGACTTATGATATTTGTCCTTTTGAGTTTGGCTCATGTCCTTAACATGATGGTCTCTAGTCCTGTCCAAGTCCCAGCAGATGACGCGATCTCACCCCTGTGTACGGCACAGTGGCGCTCAGCTATGTGTGCGTCCGCGTTCCCGTCCTCCGTTCCTCTGCTGATGGACACCGAGGCTGACTCCATGCCTTGCCTGTTAGGAATTGTGCTTCGCTCAACATGGGTGTGCGGTTAGAGAGGGTTTATTTCTTAATGGACTCATTTTCTCACTCCTTAACCGTGTTGGGAAGATTTAGTTTTTAAATCTTTCGTCTTGGGGCAGAAAAGAGAGGGGGACGTGCAGGGCTTGCCTGTGACTGGCCCTGACACATGGCACACACCCGTGGGCCCAGTGTAAGGACAGGAGGACCTGATGTGATTCACAGCATCTGTTCACTTAAGCAAGTTCGGGCTGTGTTTAGTGAGGCATCTGCCTCCAGTTGACTGTCCCACTCCTTCACC